GCAACAGGCATGGGAACAGTTTGTTAGGGGATTAAATAGGTCACCCCTTTGAGTTTGGCTTGGAAAGGTTTAATAAAATACCAGGAAAAAAAGAACTTGCAAAGTTGCTCATCCCATTCCTCTTGAAAAGCAAATGACCTCATAAATGACTGGTCCAAACATCCAGGCAATGAAAAGTCCTTCCATCTCATATAGAAAAAAATTAGAGAGTACTTCAGAGAAATGTTGATGATGAAACTGATTAATTTTAGGAGCCAAATATTGATGAGAGTGATTGCATCTTTACCGAGTATGAATTAGATAATTGCGTTATCCAAAGGTCGATCAACTGCCTCCTGGAGAGGAAAGGTTAACCCTATGATTTCTCAGACACCCTAAGGCACGTGCCTGATAACCCTTTGTTGGCATGTATAAATCTCAGTACTGTGAGGGCGTTCTTCCTACTTCCTGGACCAATAGTCTCATTGTGCATATCCCTAAGCCCCAAAACGCCTGATACATTTAGGCCCGATCTCTTAACTAGTGTCTTTGTAAAACTTTTGAATGAAAATGATCTTAACGACTGTACTACAGAATCAGAGAGAACTTTCACCCTACTCTATGGGTTCATGAAGGTAAAAGTGTTGCAGAACTTATTTCCACCTTTCTCACGCACACACCTTCTATAGTTTTACCACTTTTCTTGATCTAAATCTGCATTTTGATATTTGCGAACAGAACCGTTTTACTACATGAACTAGCCAAATGAATAATGGTGGGTAGCTTACTCTGCTGGATAATTGGATACTGTCAAAATAGAGTATCCTCTGTCCTTTACCAAGGCTTCAGAAGTGATTCTAAAGAAATGTTCTTTAGGGTACACCGCAGGGAGGGAGTTAGGAGTTTTAGTCCCATGCTTATTTACTATTCTGATTAATGCTCTCCTAAATGCTCTACCTGCTCACCTAAACATATAGCTATTAGCTATGCTGATGTATCCTGATCCCATACAACAGGCATAAGAAGATGATACCATTCTTAATGAAGTTCAAGCAATTTGTTAATAGAATAGGCTCTAATATCTTCTCTCAAAATAAGATATTAACAAGAAAACGACATCCCCCCCCATCTAATTTTGCAGGGGGAATATCATTGCTACGTTAAACTTACAGATTTTGGTGTAGATGTACCCTTTAACAATTCCACTATACCACAACTAAACAAGAAATGTTAAAGGCTAGGCTAATGCTCTCAAAGCTGTTGTGGCTACAATCCCAACTATGGTGAAAATGTGAGAATCGTGAGAATGATGTACATAGCCAATGTTAGGTCCTTAATTGATTATGCTGTCCCATGTTGATATTAGCTAGAGAAAGGTTCTCTCGACCTTGGATGCTAATGCAAAAATGAAGCTCTCAGGATTATTCCTTGGCTGTCCCAGGATCTACAAAGTTCTTAACATGAGGAAGGAGTTGGTATTTTAGTATCAGTGATAGGATTGTTGAAATTAACACTGAACCTCGGTATTAGAATGTTAAGAAACGAACCAGGACACTGTCACAGGAATCTTACCAAGTGTCTAGAGGTAAATACCACACAGATCTAATTGCCATTGTGAAAACGTGCAAGTGCATTAAGGATTATAACTGTATAAACTGTATCACTGTAGGCAACAAGAGCATTTCACCCCTCCCATGGAGATGTGTTCATTAATATCAACATACTACAAGTCCCCTCCCAAGATGCTCATTGCTGTAAAGCCTTCCTTAAATCTTTGTTAGAGCAACTTGCTCAGAGAAAGAAATTTCTCACCTAGCTGGTAGTAACAAGTTATCACAAAGTTTTTAAATTTTATTTACATGATGGATCTAAACAGGAGTCTTCTTGGCAGCGGCTGCATCTGCCTTGTTGCCACCTCCATAGTTAAGAACGATAATAAATTTGTTGAGTAGGCATTAAGAATTAAAACAACTGGGCGTCTTACACTGCAAAGCGAATTGTTGCAATCCTAATGGCGCGCTAAAGCTAAACCTATGACACTGAGCTTGACTCTATCTCTCATTACGTTTATATGTCATCATGAAGGCTCTTGGCCATTAATGACTCAAACAACTTGATCATTGGGGAAGCCAGGTATAGATACTCAAAAATTAGGGAAAAGGAATTAATGTACAATTGGCTATGGATTCCCATCAACTGGGATTACTCTCATGATAAAGTTGATCTGTTAGCAAGAAGTGTTTCGAGAAGGAGATGTACGAATATAACTTTGGTATAACTGTGTCTAGCATTATGGAATAATATTAGCGAGACGTAAAAATGAAAATGATGTTATAGGAATGAGTTAGAGCATGAGTAGATCTATAACCCCACTAGGTAACATGAACGTAGATAAGTATGTGTATGGAGCAACTTGCAAATGGAACAGACTGATTGGAAGTTGTAGTGGCCAGGCTTAGGCTTGGTTACAAGTACTTCTGGCAATTTGGGGAGACACACAGGATGGATGATCAAACTAAATGTAAAGTATGTGATCAGGCATTATGGTCACTCTCTTGAACACTATGTGCTTAATTGTCCACTTATTGAGGAATACAGAGACAGACAGTATAATAACCTATGGTGACATGGTCAAGTTATCTTATTAATGAAATAAGATACCAAGATATACATAAGCAAATTTCCTAAATTTGCTTGTAACAGATAAGTGAACTATAGATATTTAGATATAAATCCATATGTATTCCTGTTAACCCTTTGGGGCCTAGTTCCTAGGCCTTTTGTGTATCCATATGCTCTCGCGCTACCGTCCACAGGATGGATATGGGGTGCACAATAAACTAGCCACTTCGGTGGCAAAAATCTAATCTAAAATTCGGGGTGCTCGCCAGGGGCTGTTCAATCTCTTAGCTGTGATCTGTTTAGTTTTTATAGGGCAGTGCTTGTTATAGAGGCATTGGGTCTTTTTTAGAAAATTATTAATGCATTCGTCAATAACTGGATAGATTTCTAGCTCAGTATGCCAGTCAATGTTTGTCATTGCTGTTGTGAAGCTATTAATGACTGCCTCATTATGAAGTCTGAAAGGGACTTTAGTAGTGTCTTGGGATAATTGACCTAGATTGGTTATGAGAAAGGTAGGGTAGTGGTCTGTGGTATTATCTACGTTCATGTTAGCATAGTGGGTTATAGATCTACTCAGACTTCTAACTGCATTACTATAACATTCATTTTTATTATTTACTTCTCTCCTAATATTATTTCTAATGCTAAAAAAAAAAAAATGCTAGACACAGATATACGAAAGTTATATTCTACATTCTTCTCCTGGGTACTCTTCTTGGCTAACATATCAACTTTATCATGAAGGGGTAATCCAGTGTGTGATGGGATCCATAGCAATTGTACATTACGTAATTTATTTTTCCTGTATTTTTGAGTATCTATGCCTGGCTTCTCGATGACTTTTATTCTTTGAATACTTATCTACTTGAAGATTGAGACACTTATGCAACGTATGGGAATCTTTATTGAGGAAAAGTTTCGCCACACAGTGGCTTCATCAATCCAATACAAAGTAGAAATGGGTAAGGAGAGGAGGAGTTTGAGGTAATCAGTCCTTCAGCCTGGCGTCGATGTGTTCAGTCCATGACTCTTGTAGAATGTACAGCATAGGGCCGTAGACGTGGCTTATATACTGGTCAGATGAGGCGAAGCAGGAGGAGGCGGGGTCATAGTGGTACCATCCACTAGTCGAAGTAGGTCATCGTCCAAAGGTTGGACAAGTTTTGAAGAATTCTTTGTAACAAGATCCCATGATGATGCAGTGTCTGACAGTTATTATGAATGGTTTTGAAAACCGGTTTTCAAAACCATTCATCACACTTATCTACTTACTGAGGAGCATCCCAGAACGAGGTCGAAATATACAGATCAATTCATCTCCTGAGTTTCCGTCTCCTTGTGGGTTATTACTGAGCACTAACAAGTGTTTATTATACCTTAGTTATTTACTTACTACTACTAATTACTTACTAAGGGGCTCTGGTGGCCTGGTGGCTAACGCTCTCGCTTCACACGGCGAGGGCCTGGGTTTGATTCCCAGCCAGAGTAGAAACATTGGACGTGTTTCTTTCCACCTGTTGTCTATGTTCCCCATCAGTAAAATGGGTACCTGGGTGTTAGTCGACTGATGTGGGTCGCATCCTGTATTCCCTGGAACGCAGGAGGGAGAGATACATGATTATATACACCTGGAAAATCCTAGAGGGACTAGTACCGAACTTGCACACGAAAATCACTCACTACGAAAGCAAAAGACTTGGCAGACGATGCACCATCCCCCCAATGAAAAGCAGGGGTGTCACTAGCACGTTAAGAGACCATACAATAAGTGTCAGGTGCCCGAGACTGTTCAACTGCCTCCCAGCACACATAAGGGGGATTACCAACAGACCCCTGGCAGTCTTCAAGCTGGCACTGGACAAGCACCTAAAGTCAGTACGTTGGTTTGCGTGCGGCCAGCAGCAACAGCCTGGTTGATCAGGCTCTGATCCACCAGGAGGCCTGGTCGCGGACCGGGCCGCGGGGGCGTTGACCCCCGGAACTCTCTCCAGGTAAACACTGACCTAATTTGCCCGAAATGCGGAGCATAACAAGGGAGTTTCTATATAGTAGTATGTCATTGTTGTCAGCTAGGACTGTATACCTTGTACATGTACTTGTATTATTATTATTATAATCAAGGGGGAAGCACTAAACCCGTAGGATTATACAGCGCCTATGGGGGGATGGAAGGCATTCAGGCTTAATTCAGGGAACTGGAGCACAGATCCAATTCCCTAGATCAAGAGCCCCTCACCAGCGTCAAGGAGCCTTCCTTGAGGGGCATGTACTTGTAGTAAATAAAAAATAAATAAAAATAATGAAGTGTGCGGTCAAGAGATGGCGTTGATGAGTGAGTGTGTGGCGGTGTGTGGCGAGATGCAGCATCTTGATGGTAGCATCAGAGTGGACAGTGCTGTTGCTGCTGCTGCTGCTGCTGCCTGGGGATACTCACCTTTGCACACTCATCAACACTGACGTTCAACTGGAGGAGAATTATGTCTGCAAATTTCAAAGTGTTGACGGAAGACTCTCAGTTTCAGAGCGAGCTGAGTGAGGCAGGTGGCAGGCTGGTGGTGGCAGACTTCACCTCGGCCAGGTATGGCCCTCCAGGGTTGTCTTGTACTAATAATATTACAACCTCATGACTCCACTCCTCACCAGTGACTAAGTCTCTAAGATCAATATTTTTTTTTTAATTGCGTTAAATATACAAGTTTTTTTTTTCTGTTTGTCTGCTTTCAGGTTATACAAATGGTATATTAAGAATATAATGACAGATATGCAGCGATGGTAAATTATGTAGATTTAAACTAGGGAAATTAACAGTCATAATATTAAAACTTCCTTGGAGTCCCCAATAAATATGCTCTGAGATGATATATGTACTCAGCTTTGATGATATTTGATGAAATAACGATGAGAACACTTCCATATATATATATATATATAGTTGAAAGATATTTTGCTTTGAATTGAATGGTTCACAAATGACAGTGGAATGTGAATATTTTTAAAGTTCCTGGCAATGTTTTTGTTACATCTATAATGTTTATAATTTATTATATTTATTTCCCCCCTCGAGGGAGCCTCCTTGATGCTAGTAAGAGGCTCCTGTTCCAAGAATATGAACCAGACTTGTTTGCCTCCCAGATATTGTTTGATCCCCTACTTAAACAAGATGGGTCCTACACAGATGACAGCAAGGAAATGAGTGAGCTACTCAAGTCCCAATATGACTCAGTTTTTAGCAAGCCGCTAACCAGACTGAGAGTCGAAGATCAAAATGAATTTTTTATGAGAGAGCCACAAAATTTGGTTAACACAAGCCTATCCGATGTTATCCTGACGCCAAATGGGTACCTGGGTGTTAGTCGACTGATGTGGGTCACATCCTGTATTCCCTGGAACGCAGGAGGGAGAGATACATGATTATATACACCTGGAAAATCCTAGAGGGACTAGTACCGAACTTGCACACGAAAATCACTCACTACGAAAGCAAAAGACTTCGCAGACGATGCAACATCCCCCCAATGAAAAGCAGGGATGTCACTAGCACGTTAAGAGACCATACAATAAGTGTCAGGGGCCCGATACTGTTCAACTGCCTCCCAGCATACATAAGGGGGATTACCAACAGACCCCTGGCAGTCTTCAAGCTGGCACTGGACAAGCACCTAAAGTCGGTTCCTGACCAGCCGGGCTGTGGCTCGTACATTGGTTTGCATGCAGCCAGCAGCAACAGCCTGGTTGATCAGGCTCTGATCCACCAGGAGGCCTGGTCACAGACCGGGCTGCGGGGGCGTTGACCCCCGGAACTCTCTCCAGGTAAACTCCAGGACATAGTACTCTCCCATGATTGTAATAATAAAAACTTTCATTATTATTGCCTTCCCTTCAAGGGCTTCTCAAAAGAAGGTTTCTTGATTTAACTAAAGTTCACAACTACTTGGCAGAATTGGAGTTCTTTGTAATACACACAAACTATGTACACCACACAATAAGTATTTCTTCTGCAAATTGCAGTTTTTTTGGGGACATATTCATAAAAACAGTTCTTTCATCTTGGTTGCATAGTATATCTAAGCCAATTAACTCTTGGTATTGTCACGACTCTGAATATGATGCATGTCTACCAAAAGAAGAGTAAGGTTAAAATGTTGGGTTATTTTAGATTGGGTCAGGTGGGTTTTAATTTATTTGGTTTAATTTTTTGACCATTTGTGCAATAAAATAATATCTTTACTGTAGAACTGACTAAATTTTGTACAGTTCTAACTATAATTAATGCCCAAAATTGGTTGCGGAGCCGTCAGATAATTTTATTCATGATCCTGGTAAGGGTTTCTGAGCAAAGGAATCAGACCTAATCTTCCCTCCCATGGCTCTGACCTGATTGCTTTCCATTTTCCCATGCACTATATGGTCCCTATGAATTTAGCTTTCCTCCATGAATGTAAAAATTATTGTCTTCAAGGGGAAGTGCCTTACTACCAGTGAAGGGCTCGTCCAGGGAATTAGAGCTACTGTTGTGTTTCCCAGGTATTGTGTAACCTCTATAGGTTTATTGCTTTCCAAGAAAATGCCTGATAGATACCATTAATGCATTTCAAAATATTCTTCAAATTGGAGGTTTGTGTCAAAATCTAATGTCTTAGTGGCAGACTTTATTGGGTCTTGACCAGAGGACCTGACTGTGGCAGGATATATGGGCAAGTGTCTCTAAATTTGCTGCCTCTATTCATTTAGCAGTAAATAAGTACTGTCATTTAGTCAACTGTTGTGAAAGGCCAAGGCTGTTTCATTGACTTGATTTGTAGAAGGGTTAGTAACCCAGGATAACAGAGTTAAGCCAGTCAATGAAGCTAATTTCCATTGGGCTTCATTTCCCCCCCTTCCCCAGGATGCAACCAACAAGTAACTAACTCCTAGGTATAGCTTTAGTGTTAGGTAAAGGGGCAGTGTTAAACGACTTGACTATACATTGCACTTTGTAAGGTTCAACAATATCCCTTCGTTATTGAGTTGAGCAGCATGCTAATGATTGTGCTGCCTAAACAGTTATTAAACAGCATTGCCAGACATGCTGTGTGCATTATTGATGCTTTTTATAGATTTATGTAATTAACCTATAAACTGGTCTTGCCCCACCTATGTAAATAACCTGTAATGAGCTGCTAGTTACCCAGCTCCCAGACAAATGCATGTACACTAATGTTTGATTGTATCCTGGGGAAGGACTGGAAGAATCCCAGTGAAAAAGTGGTAGGCCACTCCTAGTTACCTGGACCTTATTTTCCAGTTTCACTTAACCCTTTCAGGGTCCAGAGGCCAAATTTCAAAGTGCACACCAGTGTCCAAGAATTTTCAGAAAATAATTTTGTTATTTTTTCTTATGAAAATGTAGAGAATCTTTTTCTGAAGGTAAAACAAAAAGTACAAAATTTGATAGAAAATTGACGAAATTATGCTCTCGCAAATTTTGACGTGTCTGCGATATTTACGCATCGGTGGGCCGGTGGTCTGGTGGCTAAAGCTCCCGCTTCACACACGGAGGGCCCGGGTTCGATTCCCGGCGGGTGGAAATTCGACACGTTTCCTTACACCTACTGTCCTGTTCACCTAGCAGCAAATAGGTACCTGGGTGTTAGTCGACTGGTGTGGGTCGCATCCTGGGGGACAAGATTAAGGACCCCAATGGAAATAAGTTAGACAGTCCTCGATGACGCACTGACTTTCTTGGGTTATCCTGGGTGGCTAACCCTCCGGGGTTAAAAATCCGAACGAAATCTTATCTTATCTTGCCGACTTTGGCTCCAATTTTAGGCCAATTATCTTATTCCAGTCGACCAAATTCTTAGCTATTTTACTAGTACAGTGGACCCTCAACCAGCGATATTAATCCGTTCCTGAGAGCTCATCGTTAGTCAAAATAATCGTTAGTCAAGTTAATTTTCCCCATAAGAAATAATGGAAATCAAATTAATCCATGCAAGACACCCAAAAGTATTGAAAAAAAAAAATTTTACCACATGAAATATTAATTTTAATACACACAAACTGAAGATTACATGCACAGTTACATGACACTTACCTTTATTGAAGATCTGGTGATGATTGATGGGATGGGAGGAGGAGAGAGCGTTATCTTCTTAATGTTTAGAAGGGGAATCCCCTTCCATTAGCACTTGAGGCAGCAAGTCTTTTTCTGGGGTTACTTCCCTTGTTCTATTAATGCCACTAGGACCAGCTTGAGAGTCACTGGACTTCTGTCGCACAATATATCTGTCCATAGAGGCCTGTACCTCTCGTTCCTTTATGACTTTCCTAAAGTGGTTCACAACATTGTCAGTGTACAGGTTGCCAACACGGCTTGCAGTAGCTGTGTCAGGGTGATTATCATCCATAAAGCTTTTCACTTTAAGCCACTTTGCACAGATTTCCTTAATCTTAGAAGTAGGCAACTTCTTCAATTTCTCTCGCCCCTCCTCCGAAGCAGTTTCCTCAGGTCTGCCCTCTTGCTGTTCAAGATGATCTAGCAGCTCATCAGTGGTTAGTTCTTCACTGTCCTCCACCACCAACTCTTCCACATCCTCCCCACTAACCTCCAACCCCAAGGACTTCCCCAATGCCACAATGGATTCCTCAACTGGCATAGGATTCTCAGGGTTAGCCTCAAACCCTTCAAAATCCCTTTTGTCTACACATTCTGGCCACAGTTTTTTCAAAGCAGAGTTCAATGTCCTCTTAGTCACTTCCTCCCAAGCCTTACCTATAATGTTTACACAATTGAGGATGGTAAAATGATCTTTCGAAAACTCTCTTAGAGTCAGTTGAGTTTCTGAGGTCACTACAAAGCACCTTTCAAACATAGCTTTTGTGTACAGTTTCTTGAAGTTGGAAATAACCTGCTGGTCCATGGGCTGCAGGAGAGGTGTGGTATTAGGAGGCAAAAACTTCACCTTAATGAAGCTCATGTCCCTAGAAAGTCGCTCTGCCACATCTGTAGGATGACCAGGGGCATTGTCTAATACCAGGAGGCACTTAAGGTCTAATTTCTTTTCAATTAGGTAATTATTCACATCGGGGGCAAATGCATGGTGTAACCAGTCATATAAAAAGTCCCTAGTGACCCATGCCTTACTGTTTGCCCTCCACAGCACACACAAATTAGCCTTGAGGACATTGTTTTTTCTGAACACTGGGGGTTTCAGAGTGATACACCAATAAAGGCTTCACTTTGCAATCACCACTAGCATTGGCACACATCAACAAAGTAAGCCTGTCTTTCATAGGCTTATGTCCTGGGAGTGCCTTTTCCTCCTGAGTAATGTACGTCCTGCTTGGCATTTTCTTCCAAAACAGGCCTGTTTCGTCACAATTAAACACTTGTTCAGGTTTCAGTCCTTCACTGTCTATGTACTCCTTGAAGTCCTGCACATATTTTTCAGCCGATTTGTGGTCTGAACTGGTAGCCTCACCATGCCTTATCACACTATGAATGCCACTACGCTTCTTAAATCTCTCAAACCAACCTTTGCTGGCCTTAAATTCACTCACATCACTAGTTGCTGGCATTTTTTTTTAATTAAATCG